TGCAAGCTGAAGGCAAAGCAATCTGGGGTCCTAAATAAACTTAAAAGACAGTCTAGGTCACAAGGACTGCAATTTCTAGGCAAGTCCCAGTGCTGGACTGGGCTTAGAGCCAGCAGACTTGAGGTGCACATAACCTAGTGAGACACTAGCTGGGGCAGCAAAGGAAATGATTGTGTCACTTCTTCCCAACCTTAGGCAGCACAGCTCACAACTCTGGAAGAGACTCCTTCTTTCTGCTTGAGGACAAAAGAGGGGAGAGTAAAGAGGACTTTGTCTTGCATCTTGGACATCAGCTCAGCCATTTTCTGTATTATTCCCTCCTCACATTGCTATAAAGAAATATCTGAGACTGGGTTGTTTATTAAAAAAAAAAAAAAAAGAGGTTTAACTGGCTTATGGTTCTGCAGGCTCTACAGGAAGCACAACAGCTTCTGCTTCTGGAGAGGCCTCAGGAAAATTCCAATCATGGTGGAAGGCAAAGGGGGAGCAGCTGTTTTACATGGTTTGAGCAGGAGCAGGAGAGATCAAGCGAAAAGGTGCTACACATTTTTAAACACCCAGACCTTGTGAGAACTCACTATTGTGAGGATAACATCAAGGGGATGGTGCCAAACCATTCATGAGAACCTGCCCCCATGATCCAATCACCTCCCACCAGGCCCCACCTCTAACACTGGGGATTACAATTGAACATGAGATTTGGGCACAGATCCAAACCATGTCAGAAGACTTTGTCTTGCATTTTGGATATCAGCTCAGCTACAGTAGAATAGGGCACCAGACAGAGCCATGAAGCCCCCATTCCAGGCTCTAACTCTCAGATGACATTTCTAGACACACCCTAGGCCAGCAGGGAACCTACTACTCTGAAGGGAAAGACCCAGTCCTGGAAGGATTCCCCACCTGCTGATTAAAGAGACCTTGGGTCCCTGAATAATCAGCAGTGGTAGCCAGGCAGTACTTGCCGTGGCCTTTGGATGGGACCCAGTTCCATGTTGGCTTCAGGGGTGACCCAGCACATTCCCAGGTGTGGTGGTTATGAGGAGAGACTCCTTCTGCTTCAAGAAATAAGAGAAAAGAGTAAAGGGAACTTTGTCTTGCAGCTTGGGTACCAGCTTGGCCATAGGTAGAGCACCAAGTGGACTCTTGATATCCCTGGTTCCAGATCTTGGCTTCTCAATGGCATTTCTGGACTTGCCCTGGGCCAGATGGGAGCCCACTGCCCTGAAGAGAGAGACCCAGGCCTGGCAGCATTTACCACAAGCTGACAAGCTGGCTGAAGAGCCCTTGGGCCTTGAGTGAACATCGGCAATAGCCAGGCAGCACTTGCTGTGGGCCTGAGGCAGTAGCAGCCATAAGGTAGCCTCTTTTGCTTAAGGAAAGAGGAAAGAAGAGTGGGAAGGACTTTGTCTTGTGTCTTGAGTACCAGCTCAGCTGCAGTAGAATAGAATCCCAGGAAGATTCCTAAGGTTCCCAACTCCAGGCCCTGGCTTCCAGATGGCATCTCTGGACCCCCCCAGGGCCAGGGGGCAAACGAGGACCTGAAGGGAAGGACACAAGCTGGCTGGCTTCACTGCCTGCTGATTGTAGAGGCCCAAGAACATAGGCACTAACCAGGCAGTAGTCAAGGCAGAGCTTGCACAAGACCCAGTGCTGTGCTGGCATTGAGTCTAACACACACAGTCCCAGTAGTGGTGGCTGCAAGGGTGCTTGTATCACCCTTCCCCCAACTCCAGGCAGCTCAGCTCAGAGAGAGAGAGAGAGACTCCAGTTGTTTGAGGGAAAGTAAGCAGAGAGAATAAGACACTTTACCTGGTAATCCAGAAAATTCTCTGGATCTTACCCAAGACCAGCAAAGCAGTACTTCTATGAGTCCACAAAAGCCACAGCATTACTGGGTTTGGAATAGCTCCTAATGCAGACATGGCTACAGTGACCAAAGACTTAGATCACAACACCAAAGTCCCTTTGAATACTTGGAAAGCCTTCCCAAGAACAAATAAAAACAAAGCCCAGATGGTGAAGACTATAATAAATACCTAACTCTTCAATATCCAGACACCAACAAACATCCAAAAACATCAAGAACATCTAGGAAAACATGACCTCACCAAACAAACTAAATAAGGCACCAAGGACCAATCCCAGAGAGACAGAGATATGTGACCTTTCAGTCAGAGAACTCAAAATAGTTGTTTTGCAGAAGCTCAGTGAAATCCAAGACAAAACAGAGAAGAAACTCAGAATCCTATGAGATAAATGTAGCAAAGAGATTGAAATATTTTCAAAAGAATCAGGTGGAAATTCTGGAGCTAAAAAATGCAACTGACATAGTGAAGAATGCATCAGGGTCTCTTAATAGCAGAACTGATCAAGCAGCAGAAAGGATTAGTGAGCTTGAAGACAGGCTATTTGAAAAATACACAGTCAGAGGAGACAAAAGGAAAAAGAACAAAAAAGAATTAAGCACACCTACGAGATCTAGAAAGTAGCCTCAAAAGGGCAAATCTAAGAGGTATTGGCATTAAAAAAGAGAGAGATCAGAGTAGAAAGTTAATTAAGTGGATAACAGAGAACTTGCAAAACCTAGAGCAGGATACCAATATTCAACTAGAAGAATATTATAGAACACAAAGTAAATTTAACCCAAAGAAGACTACCTCAATACATTTAATAATCAAATTCCCAAAGGTTAAGGATAAAGAAAAGACCCTAAAAGCATCAAGAGAAAAGAAACAAACAACATACAAAGGAACTCTAATACATCTGGCAGCAGACTTCTCAGTGGAAATGTTACAGGACAGGAGAGAGTGGCGTGACACATTTAAAATACTGAAGGAAAAAACTTTTACCCTAGAAGAATATATTCAGGGAAAATATCCTTTATACATGAAGGAGAAATACAGACTTTCCCAGATAAACAAAAGCTGAGGGATTTTATCAACACCAGACCTGTCCTACAAGAAATCCTGAAGAGAATGCCTCAATCTAAAAGACAAGGACATTATTGAGCAATAAGAAATTATCTAAAGCTGCAAAACTCATGAGTAATAGCAAGTCCACAGAAAAACACAGAATATTATAACATTGTAACTATGTTGTGTAAACTACTCACATCTTGAGTACAAAGACTAAAAGATGAGCCTATCAAAAATAATAACTACAACAACTTTTTAAGACATAGTCAATACAACAAGATATAAATACAAACAATAAAAACTTACAGAGCTATGAGATGAAAAAGTGTGGAGTTTTAGTTTTTTCTTTGATGGTTTGTTAATTTGCTTATTTATTTATGCAATCAGTGTTAAGTTGTCAACAGTTTAAAATAATACGTTATAAGATAGTATTGTAAGCCTCATGATAATCTCAAATGAAAAAACGTAAAACAGATACACAAAAAATGAAAAACGAGAAATTAAATCATAACAACAGAAAAAATCACCTTCACCAAAAGGAAGACAGGATGAAAGGAAAAAAAGAAGGCCACAAAATAACTAACAGATAACAAAATAGCAGAGTAAGTCCTTACTTATCAATAATAACGTTGAATGTAAAGGGACTAAACTCTCCAATCAAAAGACACAGAATGGTTGAATGAATTTTAAAAATACAAGACCCAATAATCTGTTGCCCACAAGAAACACACCTACTTATAAAGACACACATAGACTGAAAATAAAGAGATGGAAAAAGATATTCCATGCAAATAAAAACCGAAAAAAAAAAAGCAGGAGTGGCTATACTTATACCAGACAAAATAGATTTCAAGGCAAAAACTATAAAAAGAGACAAAGAAGATCACTATATAATGACATAGGGGTCATTGCAGCAAGAGGTTATAACAATTATAATATATATTTGCACCCAACACTGGAACACCCAGACATATAAAGTAAATTTTATTAGAGCTAAAGAGAGGCACAGTCCAATACAATAATAGCTGGAGACGTCAACACCCCACTTTCAGCACTGAACACATCATGAAGACAGAGAATCAACAAAGAAACATTAGATTTAATCTGCACTATACACCAAATGGGATCTAATAGCTATTTACAGAACATTTCCTCCAAGATCTGCAGAATACACATTCTTCTCATCAGCACATGGATCATTCTCAAGGGTTGACCATATGTTAGGCCACAAAACAAGCCTTAAAATTTTCAAAAAAAAAATTGAAATTATACAAGGTATTTCTCCAAACACAATGGAATAAAACTAGAAATCAATAACAAGAGTAATTTTGGAAACTATATGAACACATAGAAATTAAACAATGTGCTCCAGAATGACCACTGGGTCGATGAAAAAATTAAGAAGGAATAACACAGGAATAGAAAGCCAAATACCACACGGTCTCACTTATAAATGGGTATTAAACACTGGGTATATATGGACATAAGGATAGAAACAATAGACACTGGGGACTCCAAAAGGAAGGAGGAAGGGGAGCAACGACTGAAAAACTACCTATTGGGTGCTATGTTCACTATTTGGGTGACAGGTTCAATAAAAGCTCAAACCTCAGCATCATGCAATATATCCATGTAAAACTCCTGCATGTGTACTCCCTGAATCTAAAATGTGTGTGTGTGTGTATGTGTGTGTGTATGTGTGCACACATTTAGTTTTATTGTAACAAAGCAACTTTATACACTTTTAACATTTAAAACTGAACATCATCTTTCCTTTCCAGTGAAACAAAAAGAAAATTTAAAAATAAGCAGGAACAAAATTACAATAGAGAATGTCAGTTCCAAGTAAGATCCTACAAGTTCTGCTGATTCTCCCATTGAGTGGCAGGGCTCAAGTCATCATTAGGAGAGAATTTATTTTAAAAGTGTCATCTTAAGCTGCAAGGATGTCTGTCAAATATCACAACTAAACATGCCAAAGGAGAAGCCATGTTGTCAAAATACCCACTTAACCCACTCAAACATCTCAAATTCACCCTTTGCAGACCTTCTACAACCCCATTTTTTTAAAGTTTTTTTTTCTTTTTTTAAACAAGAGAAAGTAGACAGATACATGTTGGTAAATGCTAATGGTCCATATTCACAGAGACACAGTGTACTCTCTGAGTCAAATATGCAGAGAAAGGAGGAAAAAAGCTAGAATTCTATGCACTACTACACAGGGGCCTACACCCTCCAACTTCCAGCAGAGCGAAGGGAGTAGGTTTTTCTTTTTTCCCACAGAGCTCAGTGGTGTTGATTCCATACAGTTTTTGTTCAGACAGGAAGTGACTAAAATGAATTTCGAACAGAAAGAGTACAGACTCTTTTTCCCATTGTATTCTGCTCAAGGTATTTCCCCCAAAATAAGCTGAGAACAATGGTATAGAGAAAGGAGACCTCAAGAACAGGGCGACTGAGCACAAGAGGAAAAAAAACAAAAGACTGCAACTTGCTCCCAGGGACTGGAGAAAATTTTTAAAAAGGAAGGTTGGAATCCGTCAGTGTTCTATTAGTCATCTTCTCCTTCATCCTCCTCTCCTTCCTCCCCTTCATCATCATCTTCGTCTTCTTCACCTTCATCCTCATCCCCTTCTTCATCAACATCTTCTAATCCTTCCTCCTCTTCATCATCATCATTATCTTCTTCTCCTTCTCCTTCTTCTTCATCATCCATATCGGGAACCAAGTAGTATTGTAATGGGTTTTGCCAAATATCATCTTTGATGACCTCTCCTAAGTCATCAGCACCTGCATCAGAATTGTCCTTAAACCAGGTAAAGAAGCTCTCTGGTTCCTCATGCTTCCTCTTCCTGCTGGCTTTATTCTGCTTTTGACTTGAACGTTTTGTCAAATCCTTTCCAAATTTCCATTTGATTTCGGTGGATGTTGAAGATGGATCACCACTCTCATTCAGATGAAATTCTCTGGAGATAACTTTATTTTCAAAGTAAGGATTTTCATCAAAATGAAAATCTATTTTGTAACCCGATTTAATAATATCTTCAAATTCTGTAACTTCAACACCGATCAAATAATGTAGTGCCTCTTCATCCTCCTCCCCAAGCAGTGTAGATATTTGTGGATGGTTGACAAACGTTGTGACCCAAAAATTTGGGATTTTGGCAATCAATTCTGACCTCTTCTGAAAAAATGGTTGGCGGAGTCTGTTATATTTCTGTTCTACTTTCAAAATCTCCTCACTGGCTTGTTCATTAAGTCTGTCTATTTCATTTTGTACTTCATCAATGTTTTCAATTATTTCTTGCTGTTCTTTTTCTCCCCTCGTCACCAAGCCTGTAGAGGCCGATGTCTCCTTCGGTCCCCGAGCAGGAGGTGGTCTTGGTTTCTTCTTTTGAGGTGGGAGTGGAGACCGGCGGCGGCCTTTGCGGACTATGCTGATGGGGAAGTCAGAAAACAAGACCACGAGTCTCCTTGGTCGTCCGGAAGGAGGCAGAATACTGAATCTAAAATTTAAAAAAAAAAAAATTAAAAAAGAAGAAAAAAAGGCTGGAGAAGGCAAAGAGATAAGTTAGGATCGCTGGCATTAGGCAAGACAAGCGATAATGAAAATGTAAATCAAAACAGCAGCAATGAGTAGAGAAGAAGAAATCTATGCCCAAGGCTTGGTGGAAATTTAATTCACAAAACTTATGGGCTGATTAAATTGGGGGTAGTATTGAGACAGCAATATTATAATGCTTTTTCTATGTCCCATTGAGATGGCCATGAAGATGGCAATATCATCATCAAAGAAAAATGGAATATAGAAAAAGAATCATGTGAAGGGGATAATGGTGAGTTAAATGTGTTTTGCTGTGTTTATGTGTGTCTTGATTTTACGCATGTTGAGGCTGGGCACAGTGGCTCATGCCTGTAATCCCAACACTTTGAGAGCCCGAGGTGGGAGGACTGGTTGAGCCCAGGAGTTCAAGACCAGTCCAGGCAACATAAACGTAGCAGGACTTCATCTCTACTTTAAAGCCTGTTGACTCTGCTACATTAGCTGACATCCACACGGAAATATCCAAAAATGCTACTGGAAAATCATATCTGGCACACTTAGGGAACAGATGATTAAGAATAGAGATTGAGATTCAATCATTAACAGAGGGTGAAATGATCCACACTTTGAGTAGCAAGGCTCTAAAGCACTTCCAGACTTTCAATTCTGTAATTGTCCAAAAATAAGGAAAGGTTGTTGACAACATAATAAAGGCTCTGGGGGTCCAGTGGAAAGGGATTTGAAAGACAAAAGATTGAGATTGGTAGAATGAAAGTATAAAAGAATATCCTCTGGCATTGAGATAATTAGAGCTGGAGAAATTCTTCCTGCATATATCAACAAAGTTTTATTTTAAAAATTTGTTTGCATGTGAAAAGGGGAATGATGAAAATAAGAAAAGAAATGCTTTAGGATACTTAGTCCCACTAACAAGGTAATGGTATAAACAAGCGATTTAACAATAATGTAATCAAAAAGCCAGAACTCTGAGAGTAAATAAATATTCAAGACCTTCCTATGACACCTTATATCATGAATACTTTCCTATAGAAGTTTGTTTATTTGCATGAAAATAGGCATTTGTATATGAAATAGGATACATCTAGACAGCCAATTTATTCCCTTAAATAAAATAACAACCTGAGCTGCTTTAAGCCAATATTTGAAAACACATCAATGATTCAAATATAGAGGACTTTAAGAAAAGAATTAAAAGCCTCAGGAAAAATCACACTGCCAAAAGTAGAACAATAATGAGCTGAAGTTTCAAATTTTGTTCTTGTATTGGTTAAGGCAGTTAGGCAGAAACATTGCTCAGAGTAAATTTATTTCAGTGCTGCTAATAGCCAAATGTCTTTCTTTTTCAGTCTCTGCACATTGCAAAATCCCAGGTCCTGCAGGTGCCCTTCTTTAGGTCAAATGACCCTATGAGTCCACCCTCTCTTGCACATGAATCTTTATTTCTCTGCTTGCTCTGCAGTCAAAAGTGGTCACGTCCATCTTGGCAGTCTGGTTCATCAGATCATTTCTGCTTCAACAGCTGAGAGTCCCTCAGTGCACTGGGACAGATTCAGAGAGCTAAATAATGATTCCCTACACTAAAAAATACCATTTATTGGACATTTTTAATAAGAAACAAGTGTGAATCTCAGCTAGCAAATTTAACTGTGCATGAAAAGCCACACTTTTAAGTTGTTTTTAAGTCAGCCTAAATTGGACTCTGAGCCCTAGCTTTTCCCCGCTGGCAGGAATCCAAATTTAATCATTTGTGCCCACTTCCCCTCCATTCTCCCTGGGTTGTAAAAGGTCCCAACACCAAACCACTTATTAGTCATTAGTTCACATTGTTTACAGCTGAGAAGTCCAGTAAGCCTTGAGTTACAACTGAAACCACATTTGCAAAAGTTGTAACAGTGAGAAAATTATGACAGTGAAAGAGATCTAACAAACTCCATCTTGCTTTTAACCTCCAAATTTCCCTTGGTCATTCCTCAGCATGGGCCAAGCTAAGTTTTGGAGAAATTTATTTTATAGTTTAAATGGTAATAGCCCTTCCCAAAACTAAACCGTCTTTGTAAAACTAATAAAAGGCCACCAGGTTAGGAGGATGAGAGGAGCCTTAATTCCGCTAAGATATAACAGTAGTTAAATGATTACTAGCCATTATTCCAGAGGTCACAAGATTTTCAGCTTCCCTGATTACTAGAGACTAAGTATATCAGTCCATTTTCACATTGCTATAAAGAATTTCCCTGAGACTGGATAATTTATAAAGGAAAGAAGTTTAATTGACTCATAGTTTTACATGGCTGGGGGTGGGCCTCAGGAAATTTACAATCATGGCAGAAGGGGAAGCAGGCACCTTCTTCACAAGCCAGCAGGAGAGAGATGAAGAAGTGAAGTGGGGAAAGTCCCTTATAAAACCATTAGATCTCATGAGAACTCACTATCATAAGAACAGCATAGAGGAAAATACCCTCATGATCCAATTGCCTTCCTTCCTTGACACATAAGGATTACTTGTTCCTCCCTCAACATGTGGGGATTACAATTCAGGATGAGATTTGAGTGAGGACACAGAGTCAAACCATATCATTCCAACCCTGGCCCCTCCAAAATCTCATGTCTTTTCACATTTCAAAACCAATCATGCCTTCCCACATTCCCCTAAGTACTTAACTAATTCCAGCATTAACCCAAAAGTCCAAGTCCAAAGTCTCATCAGAGACAAGGCAAGTCCCTTCTGCCTATAAGCCTGTAAAATCAAAAACAAGTTAGTTACTTCCACGACACAAGGTGGGTACAAGCATTGGATAAATGCTCTCATTCCAAAAGGGAGAAATTGGCCAAAAAAGAGGCACTGCAGACCCCATGCAGGTCTGAAATCCAACAGGGCAGTCATTAAATCTTAAAGCTCCAAAATGATCTCTTTTGACTCCATGTAAAACATCCAGAGCACACTGATGCAAGTGGTGGGCTCCCATAACCTTGGGCAGCTCCTTTTCAGGCTCGTGTTGAATGCCTGTGGCTTTTCCAGGTACACGGTACAAGCTGTTGGTGGATCTACCATCCTGGGATCTGGAGGATAATGGCCCAATTTTCACAGCTCCACTAAGCAGTGTCCCAGTGGGGGTTCTGTGTGGGAGTTCCAACCCCACATTTCTCCTCTGCACTGCCCTAGCAGAGGTTCTCCATGAGGGCTCTTCCCCTACAGCTGACTTCTGCCTGGACATCCAGGAGTTTTCATACATCCTCTGAAATCTAGGTGGAAGTTCCCAAAACTCAATTCTTGTCTTCTGTGCACCCACAGGTCCAATATTACATTGAAGCCATCAAGACTTGAGGCTTACATCCTCTGAAGCAACAGCCTGAGCTGACTATGGCCCCTTTTATCCATGGATGGAGCTAGAGCAGCTAGGACAAGGGACACCAAGTCCCTAGGCTGCAGAGAGCAGGGAGTCTTCGGCCCGGTCCACAAAACCATTTTTTCCTCCCAGGTCTCTGTGCCTGTGATGAGAAGGGCTGTTGCGAAGGTCTCTGACATGCCCTGGAGATATTTTTCCCATTGTCTTGGCTATTAACGTTCAGTTCCTTGTTGCTTATGAAAATTTCTGCAGCCAGCTTGAATTCCTTCTCAGAAAATTGGGGTTTTTCCTACCTTATGATCAGGTTGTATATTTTCCAAACTTTTAGGCTCTGCTTCCTCTTGAATGCTTTGCCAATTAGAAATTTATTCTGCCAGATACTCTAAATTATCTCTCTCAATTTCAAAGTTCCACAGATCTCTAGAGCAGGACAAAATGCCACCAGTCTCTTCATTAAAGCATAGCAAAAGTGACCTTTGCTCCAGTTCCCAAGAAGTTCCTCATCTCCATCTGAGACCACCTCAGCCTGGACTTCGTTGTTCACATCACTATCAGCATTTTGGTCAAAACCATTCAACGAGTCTCTAGGAAGTTCCAAACTTTCCCACATCTTCCTATCTTCTGAGACCTCTAAACTGTTTCAACCTCTGCCTCTTACCAATTCCAAAGTCGATTCCACAGTTTTGAGTATCTTTATAGCAGTATCCAACTCCTGGTACCAATTAACTGTATTAGTCCATTTTCACACTGCTATAAAGAACTTCCCTGAGACTGGGGAATTTATAAAGGAAAGAGGTTTAATTGACTCACCTCCTTAACTGCTCAATCCAATGGGCTCTTTCCACTCCTCTGGCTAGGATGAACACATAAGAAAGAGAAATGTCAGAGGAAGCTCTCTTTATTCTAGCAGAGATGG